AGTACCTGGGGTATGAGGACAAGTACCTGGGGTATGAGGACAAGTACCTGGTGTATGAGGACAAGTACCTGGTGTATGAGGACAAGTACCTGGTGTATGAGGACAAGTACCTGGGGTATGAGGACAAGTACCTGGGGTATGAGGACAAGTACCTGGGGTATGAGGACAAGTACCTGGGGTATGAGGACAAGTACCTGGGGTATGAGGACAAGTACCTGGGATATGAGGACAAGTACCTGGGGTATGAGGACAAGTACCTGGGGTATGAGGACAAGTACCTGGGGTATGAGGACAAGTACCTGGGGTATGAGGACAAGTACCTGGGGTATGAGGACAAGTACCTGGGATATGAGGACAAGTACCTGGGGTATGAGGACAAGTACCTGGGGTATGAGGACAAGTACCTGGGGTATGAGGACAAGTACCTGGGGTATGAGGACAAGTACCAAGGGTATGAGGACAAGTACCTGGGATATGAGGACAAGTACCTGGGATATGAGGACAAGTACCTGGGATATGAGGACAAGTACCTGGGGTATGAGGACAGATACCTGGGATATGAGGACAAGTACCTGGGATATGAGGACAAGTACCTGGGGTATGAGGACAGATACCTGGGATATGAGGACAAGTACCTGGGATATGAGGACAAGTACCTGGGATATGAGGACAAGTACCTGGGATATGAGGACAAGTACCTGGGATATGAGGACAAGTACCTGGGGTATGAGGACAAGTACCTGGGGTATGAGGACAAGTACCTGGGGTATGAGGACAAGTACCTGGGATATGAGGACAAGTACCTGGGATATGAGGACAAGTACCTGGGGTATGAGGACAGATACCTGGGATATGAGGACAAGTACCTGGGGTATGAGGACAAGTACCTGGGGTATGAGGACAGATACCTGGGATATGAGGACAAGTACCTGGGGTATGAGGACAAGTACCTGGGGTATGAGGACAGATACCTGGGATATGAGGACAAGTACCTGGGATATGAGGACAAGTACCTGGGATATGAGGACAAGTACCTGGGGTATGAGGACAAGTACCTGGGATATGAGGACAAGTACCTGGGACCTATGAGGACAAGTACCTGGGATATGAGGACAAGTACCTGGGATATGAGGACAAGTACCTGGGATATGAGGACAAGTACCTGGGATATGAGGACAAGTACCTGGGATATGAGGACAAGTACCTGGGATATGAGGACAAGTACCAAGGGTATGAGGACAAGTACCAAGGGTATGAGGACAAGTACCAAGGGTATGAGGACAAGTACCAAGGGTATGAGGACAAGTACCAAGGGTATGAGGACAAGTACCAAGGGTATGAGGACAAGTACCAAGGGTATGAGGACAAGTACCAAGGGTATGAGGACAAGTACCTGGGGTATGAGGACAAGTACCAAGGGTATGAGGACAAGTACCAAGGGTATGAGGACAAGTACCTGGGGTATGAGGACAAGTACCAAGGGTATGAGGACAAGTACCAAGGGTATGAGGACAAGTACCAAGGGTATGAGGACAAGTACCAAGGGTATGAGGACAAGTACCAAGGGTATGAGGACAAGTACCAAGGGTATGAGGACAAGTACCAAGGGTATGAGGACAAGTACCAAGGGTATGAGGACAAGTACCAAGGGTATGAGGACAAGTACCAAGGGTATGAGGACAAGTATGAGGACAAGTACCTGGGGTATGAGGACAAGTACCTGGGGTATGAGGGTATGAGGACAAGTACCAAGGGTATGAGGACAAGTACCAAGGGTATGAGGACAAGTACCAAGGGTATGAGGACAAGTACCAAGGGAGGACAAGTACCAAGGGTATGAGGACAAGTACCAAGGGTATGAGGACAAGTACCAAGGGTATGAGGACAAGTACCAAGGGTATGAGGACAAGTACCAAGGGTATGAGGACAAGTACCTGGGGTATGAGGACAAGTACCTGAGGACAAGTACCAAGGGTATGAGGACAAGTACCAAGGGTATGAGGACAAGTACCAAGGGTATGAGGACAAGTACCAAGGGTATGAGGACAAGTACCAAGGGTATGAGGACAAGTACCAAGGGTATGAGGACAAGTACCAAGGGTATGAGGACAAGTACCAAGGGTATGAGGACAAGTACCAAGGGTATGAGGACAAGTACCAAGGGTATGAGGACAAGTACCAAGGGTATGAGGACAAGTACCAAGGGTATGAGGACAAGTACCAAGGGTATGAGGACAAGTACCAAGGGTATGAGGACAAGTACCAAGGGTATGAGGACAAGTACCTGGGGTATGAGGACAAGTACCTGGGGTATGAGGACAAGTACCAAGGGTATGAGGACAAGTACCAAGGGTATGAGGACAAGTACCAAGGGTATGAGGACAAGTACCAAGGGTATGAGGACAAGTACCAAGGGTATGAGGACAAGTACCAAGGGTATGAGGACAAGTACCTGGGGTATGAGGACAAGTACCAAGGGTATGAGGACAAGTACCAAGGGTATGAGGACAAGTACCAAGGGTATGAGGACAAGTACCAAGGGTATGAGGACAAGTACCAAGGGTATGAGGACAAGTACCTGGGGTATGAGGACAAGTACCTGGGGTATGAGGACAAGTACCAAGGGTATGAGGACAAGTACCAAGGGTATGAGGACAAGTACCAAGGGTATGAGGACAAGTACCAAGGGTATGAGGACAAGTACCAAGGGTATGAGGACAAGTACCAAGGGTATGAGGACAAGTACCTGGGGTATGAGGACAAGTACCTGGGGTATGAGGACAAGTACCTGGGGTATGAGGACAAGTACCTGGGGTATGAGGACAAGTACCTGGGGTATGAGGACAAGTACCAAGGGTATGAGGACAAGTACCAAGGGTATGAGGACAAGTACCAAGGGTATGAGGACAAGTACCAAGGGTATGAGGACAAGTACCAAGGGTATGAGGACAAGTACCAAGGGTATGAGGACAAGTACCAAGGGTATGAGGACAAGTACCAAGGGTATGAGGACAAGTACCAAGGGTATGAGGACAAGTACCAAGGGTATGAGGACAAGTACCTGGGGTATGAGGACAAGTACCAAGGGTATGAGGACAAGTACCAGGGGTATGAGGACAAGTACCAAGGGTATGAGGACAAGTACCAAGGGTATGAGGACAAGTACCAAGGGTATGAGGACAAGTACCTGGGGTATGAGGACAAGTACCTGGGGTATGAGGACAAGTACCAAGGGTATGAGGACAAGTACCAAGGGTATGAGGACAAGTACCAAGGGTATGAGGACAAGTACCAAGGGTATGAGGACAAGTACCTGGGGTATGAGGACAAGTACCTGGGGTATGAGGACAAGTACCAAGGGTATGAGGACAAGTACCAAGGGTATGAGGACAAGTACCAAGGGTATGAGGACAAGTACCAAGGGTATGAGGACAAGTACCAAGGGTATGAGGACAAGTACCAAGGGTATGAGGACAAGTACCTGGGGTATGAGGACAAGTACCTGGGGTATGAGGACAAGTACCTGGGTATGAGGACAAGTACCTGGGGTATGAGGACAAGTACCTGGGGTATGAGGACAAGTACCAAGGGTATGAGGACAAGTACCAAGGGTATGAGGACAAGTACCAAGGGTATGAGGACAAGTACCAAGGGTATGAGGACAAGTACCAAGGGTATGAGGACAAGTACCAAGGGTATGAGGACAAGTACCAAGGGTATGAGGACAAGTACCAAGGGTATGAGGACAAGTACCAAGGGTATGAGGACAAGTACCAAGGGTATGAGGACAAGTACCAAGGGTATGAGGACAAGTACCAAGGGTATGAGGACAAGTACCAAGGGTATGAGGACAAGTACCAAGGGTATGAGGACAAGTACCAAGGGTATGAGGACAAGTACCAAGGGTATGAGGACAAGTACCTGGGGTATGAGGACAAGTACCTGGGGTATGAGGACAAGTACCAAGGGTATGAGGACAAGTACCAAGGGTATGAGGACAAGTACCAAGGGTATGAGGACAAGTACCAAGGGTATGAGGACAAGTACCTGGGGTATGAGGACAAGTACCTGGGGTATGAGGACAAGTACCAAGGGTATGAGGACAAGTACCAAGGGTATGAGGACAAGTACCAAGGGTATGAGGACAAGTACCAAGGGTATGAGGACAAGTACCAAGGGTATGAGGACAAGTACCAAGGGTATGAGGACAAGTACCAAGGGTATGAGGACTAGGGGTGAAGATACAGTAGGTTTTATACAACTACAAAATGTTAACAAGATATTCCATAGTTGACAAAATCAGTAGAGTGAGATCTGCACCCACCAAACACACATCGAAACTACGACGTTGGTACAACGTTCGAACAAGTTTTAACCCTTCCTAACCAGTTATAACAACCAATATAGCAAGTTGTAACAACGTTCTAATACGTCATAAACACGTTAAGCCAAAATGTAACAACTTTATTACAAGTTGTAACAAGCGGAAAATAGAGACAGTTTCGGTTTGTGTTTCCAGGGCAGCGCTCCTGATTCTTGTTCTTCTAAAAAGGCATCATGTGATGTCCACCTTATTTTTACAACTTTTAATTATTATTATTATTATTATTATTATTATTATTATTATTATTATTAGTTATATTAGTGTTTTATTGTCCAGGAAATTGGTTTTATCTTATTTAAATTTTAACAGGTTTGAGAGATCATTAACTATATAAATTGTAAATTCTAGATGATTACATTTGTCGTGGTATTTAATCCTTTCATTCCTCTTTTTACGCTTGTTCTCTCTCTCTCTCTCTCTCTCTCTCTCTCTCTCTCTCTCTCTCTCTCTCTCTCTCTCTCTCTCTCTCTCTCTCTCTCTCTCTCTCTCTCTCCTGAATGAGTCCCATTTTGTGTATTTTTACTCTCTCACTTTCTCTTCATTATTTTTTCCGACTCTCATGAGTCGGAAAACCTGTCTTTCTCACCTTGACTGACTCTCACTCTTCCTGTGACAGGTCCTCTGGTGGGTGTGACCGTCGGGCGAGGTGACACGGCCAGACTACCGTGTCGCCAACCACACTACGTCGACGACACCCTCAACCTGGTCCTCTGGTACCTCAACCACACCTCCAGGCCCTTCCTCAGGTGAGTCACCGGCCGGCAGGTTGAGTCCTCGAATGGTCAGGTCAGTCACGGGGTTCTTAGGTGAGTCAGGGGTTACGTCTCTCCTTTTCAGGTGACTCATCAGAGGCTCAGATGAGCCACACACTTACTCACTGCCACACACTCACTCATTTCCTTCTGTGAATCTCCTCAAGACGCCAGTTTTTTTCCACTGGAAAATCACAGGATCTTTTCCTCTCACATTTTAATAATTCCAGCGACGGTCCAGGAACTAGATGTGATTCTGTGATTATGTAGACTCTTCTGTTCCAGGAAATCTCAGATTACATTACTTTTATTATCTTAAAACTAAATTATTCCCTCTGTACCTCTCGGACTTCGACAATCTCGTTCCAATAGAGGACGCGGCGCCTTATCTTAGTACCGATGGAGGCACAAACGTTCACAGTGCCACTTAGATACGCTACGTATCTATACGTATACGTATAGTCTGGGGTCACGCGATCTGGACAATTGTGTCTTTGACATGATTCGCATTCGCATGACTCCCTGGCCTCTACAAGACTTGGTCAATCACTGTGTTATTAGAGGACGCACCGGATATTATATCTTTGTCTTTGCTACATCATTCTCCGGGGCGTCGGTCTTTGTATCGAGACCAAAGGTTCTCTCATCTCGGTCTTTGCTCTGAGAAATATTCTCCAATTTTATACGATTTTCTGCCAGGTTTTCTTCGTGTCTCTAGTCATAATTGTTAACGACCTCGCCTTACTTTGCTTCTCAGTTAGTCCAACGAGTATTTACCGGACCCTCCTTGGGGTCTCTCTCGGCAGACACAGCAGGTACTTGACTGCTGACAGAGAACACTTCCACTAATGGCTTATATCTATGGTCTTAAGGTCTATACCCGCCTCTCCCTCGCTCCCATCACAGTCGGTAGTCTCTCCCTTCTCCCCATATTCCTTTGGGTGTTTCCTGGTCTAGCCAGTTCCTTTAGCTCCATTATGTATTAAAGCATGATAATGCAGTGGTCACTTGCCCCTCGAGGCATCTCATACTCTATCTTCTCCACATCTGTTTCATTTTGGATAAACACTAAGTCTAGTGCAGTTGGTGGTCATCTCCCCTTACTCTTGTTGGTTCTGTTGTATGTTGTTTCAAGAAGTGATTATCTGCTGTATCTACTAGTTTTGTTCTCCATGTCTCATCACCCAGCATGGAAATCAAATCTTCATGAAAATTACTTATGTTGTAGACATTAAAAACTACGAGCAGATATTAATAAACTTAAATTGGACAGCAGAAAATAACATGCTGTTTAACAGTAATAAATTCGAGGAACTTAGGTACGGTAAAAATGAGGACCTTAAGCAAAATTAAAATACAATATTAATAAAAAAAATTAATTAAAAAATACAGGGTTCAAAACAAAATAAAATCTGCCCATAGTAGGAAAGCAGCATGTAAAGAATCTGAGAATATTGATGCCTGACGACCTAACGTTAAGGGAGCATAACCAAGCAAAAAATTGTGTCAGCCAGAAAAATTATATGATGGATTACGAGAACTTTCAAATCCAGAGATCCCATCACAATGGTTATACTCTTCAAGTCACTTGTGCTGTCCCGGCTTGAGTACTGCTTAGTACTCACGTCCCCCTTCAGAGCAGAAGAGACTGCTGATATAGAGGGAAATACAGAGAACAAATACTTTATGCATAGACACAATGAAGCACCTAAACTATTGGGATCGTCTTAAAAAGTTCTCCAAATGTACTCTCTTCAAAGGAGACGAGAGAGACATCAAATAATGTATACATGGAAAATACTGGAGGGTCAGCTCCTAAATTTACATAGCAAAATAAAAACATACTGGAGTGAACGATATGGAAGAAAATGCAGACTGGAGCCAGTGAAGAACAGGGGTGCCACAGACAATCAGAGCACGTTGTATAAACATCAGAGGTCCGCGGTTGTTCAACATTCTCCCAGCGAGTATAAGAAATATTGCCGGAACAAAAGTGGATGTCTTCAAGAGAAAACTGGATAGTTTCTTCAAGAAGTGTTGCACCAATCGGGCTGTAGTGGATACGTGGGCCTGCGGGCCACTCCAAGCAACAGCCTGTTGAACCAAGATCTCACAAGTCAAGGCTGGCCTCGGGCCGGGCTTGGGGAGTAGAAACTTTGATCTCCCAGAACCCTATCAAAGTACAATCAAGGTACCCCTTTGAAATATCTTGGCTAATATATTCCATATTAAAAGTCCCTCTGCCACTCAATTTTGACTTTCCAGCTAGTATATATTTCACTGGTGCACTGGTGGTCCGAAAGATTACTCTCACTGGTCGATTCCTCCATATTTGGAACTTACCAAGCCAACAGTAATGCTCAATTCTCTTGGTGGCCTCTCGAGCCTATATTTTCGTGAGAAGTCTTGAAATCTTTTTCCTGATCACCTTCTCTTCTCCTTTACCTTGTGTTCCCCTCTGGCTCTGACAGATTATAACTGACTTCTTCCCCTCCTGTTCCTGCCTCGCACTTTTCACACCTGCTGGCTGTTTACGGCATCCATTACTGTTCCTTTCATGATCTGTTTACCCTCTGACCACTTAAGCTACTTCAGGAAATGTATGTACCCGGTGCCAGCTTGGGCTGGGTATGCACGATCTTCAAGCCGGGTATATTTGACCTTAGTATACTCGATCCTCGAACCGGATGTACTCGATTGTAGGGTATACTCGATGGTGGGGATTGGTATGCTTGATCATGAGGCTTGGTGTATTTGCTAACGTGACCGTGTATACAACAATCCAGGGGCCGGATATACTCCATCTTGGGGCCCGGTATACTCGTTCCTGGAGCCGGGTATACTCGATCTTGGTGCCGCTTATACTTGATCCCGGATCCAGATATATTCGATCCTTGATCTGGGTGAACTCGATCTTGTGGCCAGGTATACATGATTATGGGTCGAGTATTCTCGTTCCTGGGGCCGGGTATACCCAGTCATAGGGCCGGGTATACCCAGTCATAGGGCCGGGTATACCCAGTCATAGGGCCGGGTATACCCAGTCATAGGGCCTGGTATACCCAGTCATAGGGCCTGGTATACCCAGTCATAGGGACGGGTATACTCAATCATAGGGCCAGGTATACTCATTGGGCTGAGTATACTCAATCATAGGGCCGGGTATACTCAATCATTGGGCCGAGTATACTCGTTCCTGTGGCCAGATATACTCTTCTTAGGTTCTCGTAATTTTCCATGCCTTGCTATCCTGTACCGGGGAGCCGGTCGGCCGTGCGGACAGCACGCGGGACTTGTGATCCTGTGGTCCTGGGTTCGATCCCAGGCGCCGGCGGGAAACAATGGGCAGAGTTTCTTTCACCCTATGCCCCTGTTACCTAGCAGTAAAATAGGTACCTGGGTGTTAGTCAGCTGTCACGGGCTGCTTCCTGGGGGTGGAGGCCTGGTCGAGGACCGGGCCGCGGGGACACTCAAAGCCCCGAAATCATCTCAAGATAACCTCAAGATCTCAAGATATCCTACATCCATAGCTTAAACCTGGAACTTGATCTTTGTTTTTCATTCTTCTTCCACTGGAGAGGGATAAATTTTTCCAGCGGTCTCAGAGTGTTTCTCGCCGAAGAGGTCCATCATTTCCTGCTTTACCCTGCTTTTTAGGGACTTTCCCCTGCTTTCAGGGTCTTTTCCCTGCTATCAGGCACTTTCCGCTGCTATCAGGGAGTTTCCCCTGCTATCAGGGAGTTTCCGCTACTATCAGAGACTTTCCCTTGCTATCAGGGACTTTTCCCTGCTATCAGGTACTTTCCCCCCTGCTATTAGGGACTTTCCCCCTGCAATCAGGGACTTTCCCCTGCTATCAGGGACTTTCCCCTGCTATCAGGGACTTTCCCTTGCTATCAGGGACTTTCCCCTGCTATCAGGGACTTTCCCTTGCTATCAGGGACTTTTCCCTGCTATCAGGTACTTTCCCCCCTGCTATTAGGGACTTTCCCCCTGCTATCAGGGACTTTCCCCTGCTATCAGGTACTTTCCCCTGCTATCAGGGACTTTCCCCTGCTATCAGGTACTTTCCCCTGCTATCAGGTACTTTCCCCTGCTATCAGGGACTTTCCCCTGCTATCAGGGACTTTCCCCTGCTATCAGGGACTTTCCCCTGCTATCAGGGACTTTCCCCTGCTATCAGGGACTTTCCTCTGCTATCAGGGACTTTCCCCTCCTCTCAGGGACTTTCCCCCCCCTGCTATCAGGGACTTTCCCCTGCTTTCAGGGAGTTTCCCCAATGCTATCAGGGACTTTCCTCTGCTATCAGGGACTTTCCCCTCCTCTCAGGGACTTTCCCCTGAGTTACATCTCACATGGATGGTATCTTTGACAGGTCGTCTCAGTTGATGGTTTCCCCTTCTATATGCCAACCATTTACCATCTGGGCCATTGTATAAAGAGTACTTCCATACGGTACTCAAATGCCGGAACGCACTGATGCTCAATCCTTAAGGGGGGGTGGGGGTGGGGGGTGAGGGGTGGGGGGTGGGGGGGGGGGGGTTGAAATTGAGTTCCCTTACGTCTGGCCATTAAGTGTGAGTATCGGGTCACGTCTGATATTCACGTCATGTTCTCGTGGGTTCACTGACATGTTGTCTGAGAAGTTTCACAAATTATTCACTGAAACTGTGGTTCATTGAGCTCTCTCCTGGGGTCGTGGTCTTATTGAGCTCTCTCTTCTGGGGTCGTAGTCTCACTGAGCTCTCTCCTGGGGTTGTAGTCTTATTGAGCTGTCTCTTCTGGGGTCGTGGTCTCATTGAGCTCTCTCCTGGGGGTCGTAGTCTTATTGAGCTCTCTCCTGGGGGTCGTAGTCTTATTGAGCTCTCTCCTGGGGTCGTAGTCTCATTGAGCTCTCTCTTCTGGGGTCGTGGTCTCACTGAGCTCTCTCCTGGGGTCGTAGTCTCATTGAGCTCTCTCCTGGGGTCGTGGTCTCATTGAGCTCTCTCTCCTGG